ATTTCAGTAAATACCCTAAACACTCATCTGTACAGCCTCCCAATAGTCCCTTATCTATTTCAGTAAATACCCTAAACACTCATCTGTACAGCCTCTTAATAGTCCCTTATCTATTTCAGTAAATACCCTGAACACTCATCTGCACAGCCTCCCAATAGTCCCTTATCTATTTCAGTAAATACCTCTGTGCTTAAGACTGAAGACTCATCTGCACAGGCTTAGTAACCTCGCTTAAGAGCCAATTATTCGCAATAGTCAACTGTAATGTAAAGAATGTGCAGCTTGAACAATACCAATGTTTTGAAATCCCAGGGACTTTTAGTGGTATCTGTGAATATAAACTTATAAACGAGGCCTGTGCAAATAAGTCTGGTCTTCAAAAACAGCGGTATGCATCTAATGCGAAACTGGCCAGGTGTATTTAAGTGTCTGCGGACGTCTATTTGCAGTGAAATGCACATGACAGATCATTAATACTGTCTGTCATTGATGAAAGAACCAAGCTACAGCTTTTATTTGGATATATTTGATCCTATTTAGCATTAAATATTGGATGAACTTTATTTGGCGTGTGGGGGGAAGGTGTACGCCAAGTATATGTGGGTTTAATTGGTTGGGATCCCTGTAGTTTTTAACAGTTGCACATGAGAAGCGACATCAATGTAGTTACAACTCAAACAAAGAAATGATACTCAAGGGAATGACACATGGCCTGAAATGGGAAAACATTACGCTCAAGCTAAAAAGCTATAATTACCAAATCGAAATATGGAGACCAATTTGAATAACTATTGTTCTGCACTGACTAGCGACTGACTAGCCTCTCATACATGTGAAAACGCTTTTATGTTTCCACGTGAACACAAGGCTAGTCAGTCGCTAGTCAGTACAGAATAATAGATATTCAAATTATCGCCATATTTCGAATTGGTTGAAGAAATACTCTAGACTAATACTAGTGTAGACATAAAACATGATGAGGATTTTTATACCTACACTTCCAGAATCCTTTTCGGTAGCTTTTTTTGTTATGCTAATTTACACTATTGTCTTGGTATTCTCAAACGTGAGTTTCAACATTTGAATATGAAAAGTATTGTGGTAACTTAGGTATGAAAATCATTAGGGTTGGGGTATATCGATGTCTCTGCTCGACAATGTATTCTTCTCTGTATATGTTTGGTTTATTATATTTTCATTTATAGACCAAATGCAAAACTCGCACCGATGTGAGGTTTAAGTTGTAAACAAAGGGATCTGGCGTGACTCAAAAGTCACGAATCACGCCAGATCCCTTTGTTCACAACTTAAACCTCACATCGGTGCGAGTTTTGCATTTGGTCTATAGTTTAATTTATTTTCGTATACCCCCACCAACCCTTACACTGGATGGATTTGTTTTTATTTTTTTGGAAGTAAAAATAAATAAAAAAAATAAAAAAATAAAAAAATAAAATACAACAAATAAAATGCTATCCTTTGCCGTTTCAGTCGATATCATCTATTTCGAAGAAGAAGTATATGGAACCTATAAAGGCCACATCTGGAAAGAGTAAAGGTGAACCATACGTTGCACAAGCATCGGATGAATTGGTACAATGATATTGACGACTCTTGAAAACTCCATAATATCTTGAATTTGTGGGCTTAGCCTCACTTTGGAGTTTGGAATTAGCGTCACTCAATTTCCTCCTGGAAATTATTTAAAATGGGCTAAATTCAAAAAATAACCACACAGAGCGAAAGAAGTGCTAATTTTTAATGATCACGTAAAATTTCGAGACTTTATTTCACGTTTCAAGGATTTTATTGAATTTTTTGATGAATCCCCATACATTTCCTTATAACATGACACCACTGAAACCAAGCTTGGGCTACCTTTGGTACAGTCGTGAATAAGGATGCTCAATACTTTTGGATAATGGCGTCATTCTACTATCAATAATATCAAAATGCATTGCTAGTTTTATTTCTTATTCCACAGCTACATCTACATTTTAAAATCGTTAGATATCACACCAATTTAATTCACTTGTGTAATTTTAAAGGTGCAGACATAAGCGAATATGTATATTCCTTGACAGCGCGAGCTAATCACTTTACATTATAGACTTTTAGACTTTAATCAATTAACACGTTATACATAATTAAATATAGAGAAGAAAGGTAATAATAGAATAAGTTCGTGAAAGTATATTACAAGTAAATTGACAGGTCACTTGCTTTATGGCATCATTAACTACAACTACCAGAATCCCTTGCACACTTTCTTTCGTTCAGTTAATAAGCACCAGTTGTCTTACTATTCTCATGAGGAAATACAAATTTGAATAAGAAAGAAAATTCGCGAAGCATTTTGATAGTGGGAGTCAAATGATGCCACCATGCAAACTCCTATTATAGTAAAGTTACAAGAGTCTGCTGTGGCTGTAGTACTTTCGAGTAAACAGCCACACGTAGCTAGCCAATCAGTGCGCTCGTTATAAAACATTTATTATGATCTGTGAAAAACTTACAGTACGGAAAAAGCTGTAACGTGACAGTGACGATGCCGTGTTCGAGCACTCTGATTGGTTGAGCAGCAATCTCGCGCACTGTGATTGGCTAACTACCATGTTTATATAAATTATACTGACTCGCAAACTACGTATATGACAATATTCTAGCTTTGTAGCAGCACCTAATCATGTAACCAGTTATTATATCAGGCAATTGACTGGAAATGGGTTTAAGAATGATTTAAAAATATTTATATTTAGTACAAAATGTGCAATCCTCGTTCTCACGTCACATAGCTTATAGAGCATGTGCATGTTACGTCATAAGCACCATCTTGGTTGACGATAACAATTGTTATTCATATTTCAAGGGATTTTTGAATCACATGGTTGCATACACTGTATACTAATAGATTTGGACTTTTTTATGATTTTTGATTTAAGACTTTAGTCTTAGATAGGGTATAATGGAATTTATAAGAATGTCGATCCTCTTAAATAGGGTTATCGATTGTTGATGGAAATGTTCCGCTAATTGCAAAGCTAGTGTTCATCGTATCACCACCTGGCGCGCAATTCATTTACTTTATTATATGACCTGCACTTCCTGGATTCTGATTGGTCGACAAGTGGGCCTTATTTTGCACATTCTGGCCCACGAACTGTATTTTTCGTATCCGGACCGGTGACCCGGATGTTCATAGATTTCTTTTCGCACGTGTTCATTTGACATTTGTCATTGAACCGATAACTGATGTACAAAAAAAAAAAAAAAGAACCGTTGTCTCTCTTTCTTTTTAAAAAATAAACTATACAGAATTGTTGAGTTTCAATCAGCTTATAAAAGTCCTTAAATGTCATGAATTATCTGCTCCAAATGGTAGTCAAACACTGACCACCGTGTTCTGTCAGCCAAAAAAGAATTCTATTGAAAACTTGTGATTCAGCTGATGAACCTTCTGCGAGAGACAGGAAATAACGTCATGGAAATCCTTCAATTGCTGGGTTTCACTTGACGTCATTTCCTGTCTAGAGGGGAATGTTTATAAGCTGAATCGCAAAATTTCAATACAAATCTGGCTGACAGCACATGGTGGTCAGTGTTTGACCACCATTTGAAGCAGATAATGAGATTCAAGGACTTTATCAGCTGATTGAAATACAGCAATAGGCCTAGGATTATTTTGACTGCAATATGCTCACTGACATGCTGATGCGTTATAAAATTTAGTCTGTAACTCCGAGTACGACCACCGATGCAGAGCTGGTCAAATTAAAGTGTACGTTGAGTCCCATTGGCTGATGAGGATTAGACATGCCATCTAAGTCTAGCTATTGCAGCCGAATCGTCTCTGCAGAACCTCTTCACTAGAAACCTCGTCTATCAGGGACGTAGCAGTCGGAGACTCCATTATTATCATCATAACTTGTCACGTTAGGAAGTGTCTTAGGCCGTCACACTATTCCCACCCCTCCCCCTACCAATGAAATTACGCTTCTACATCCCTGTTAGGCTTGTGTTGACGCATGCTAGCTTTATGTCCTATTTGTAGTACAATTATTACATTACAGTTTGTAAAATATCTTAAAAATAAAATCATTTCTTAGATTTACATCGATCAATGGTATCAATTGCTAGCTACCATATTATATATGAATTATAACTCGAAAACCACGAATATGTAAATATTCTAGCCTTGTAGCAGCACCTAATCGTGTAACCAGTTATTGGTTTAAGAATAATTGAACAACATTTATAATAATCAGGTACAAAATGTGCAATCCTCGTTCTCACGTCACATAGCTTATAGAGCATGTGCATGTTACGTCATAGCCACATGGAACCCGACTATATTTTAGAAAAATAACTTTGCTCTTTGTGGGTTTCCTGTGTTGTGATCGGTTTCCTATATAAAACCAAGAGACCATGAAGGACAGATCCAAAACATCCCCATACATTCTCTATAGAAGTACAGAGCTTGGGCTGCCTGTGGCCAAATATGCAAATAAGCACTTCTATTTCCTGTTGATGAGTCTGATGGTCTTTCAGACTAAATGCTAGTAAGTTCTTTCGCTGAGTGAAAAGGTCTCAGTCTGCTAGAAGATGAAGACAAATATGCGATAGAAAAGGTAACATTTTCATTGATTGTTGACTATTGTCAGTTAGTCCGTATGTATTTCTGTGTTGACGAGATCAGTTTGCCAATCCTATTATGCAAAATTACGTTAATTATAAAATACACTCTACAAAATTACTCGATTCTGATTGAACAATAGAAGTACCATTAAATCCCAAATTGTACTCTGTAGAGTCCCAATTACCTTGCTCAGTTTTGTTGAGTGTATTTTAAACAAAAAATCGCACAATCTTCTCGGTACAATTTCGGAATTTATAGATACTCGAGATGTTTTGAAAGTTCTGAAATTGAACTCGCCTAAAGGCTAGTCCAATTTTGAAAACTTTCAAAACATCACTCGTACCTATAAATTCCGGAATTGCACTTGAGATCGTGCGATTTCCTATACTAAAAATTGCGAAGTAATGTAGAATACACCCGTAGTTTGACTCGTAAGTGATCTAAATTTTTAGACCATCAATGTAAAAAAGGTGCTTAGTTGCATATTCCACCTCCTCCCCCTCAGTGACTCCTGTCATAGTTGAGCAATAAACACAATTGCAGCATAGTTGAATATAAACGAAGTATTTGTTTTAGTTCCTGCAAGACCGACGTTCTCCGGCGATGAAAAGGTCTTCTCCATCTGCTCATTTGAAGATGAAGGCAAATATGAGATAGAAAAGGTGACACTTTCATTGATTGTTGGCTATTGTCAGTTTACAATAGTCTGTATTAAGTGGAAATTGTTGCAAAGCAAGCGATCTATTTCTGTGACGATGAAGTTATAATTTAAAATGTGCATACCTAACATAATCATCGTCAATAATAAAATCGTTATCAATCAAAATTAGTATTCCAGCTAGAGTCGGCTAGAGCAGAGGAACAAAGAAATCCGCTGTCTTTAATTGCTTAATTATGTTTTTTTTTTTTAATTCGTTTTGCTTTTTTTTTTCTTCTTAAGATTCTATTTGATTAAAGAAGCAGAATAAATAATTTGCAAATCACATTCCAGGGTTTGTTCTTTGCCGTTCGCAGCGTTATGATCTCCCTCAATTAACTTTCTTCAAAAAATAGCGATTCATTAAAAAATATCGATCAATTATAAAATTATAAAATGTAAAGCAATTATGAGAGAGATCTTGAGCAAATATTAGCCTGTATTTACGTTTTAAATGAAGCATTTCAATTTTAAAGCGGGCTATAAAATTTCCGTCCGAATGTGCATGTTTATAAAGCAGTAAAATCGAATTACGTATGCCAAATCACAGACCAGAATTGGAATTGAAGTAAATCGATCACTTTGATCCGTGTGGCATAAGTGCCGTAAGAACAGACGAAAATGACTATTTTAAAGGGCGATGGTCGGGACAGTTCAATAATCGGGACATTTTCATGTCGAAATGGTCACTAGTCCAAATTGTCCGATCCTTTCCCTCATATTTTTCGGTGCTAAAAGTCTCGACAGTCGGGAAATTTTGATGGCTCGCCATCCGAATCAAGAGGTCTTGGACGTCGTACTCCATTGAAGAAATCGTCGCATTTTGAATACTAATTAGGAGCAGAGTAAATGTATTGAATACATGGCATGTTCTTCGGCTGAGTGCCTGCTTAACCTAATAGTCCTTCGGTTGAGTGACTGCGTATCATAAACCTTTACTCCATTCATTTTATTTATTTCAGGGTTTATGATACGCAGTCGCTCAACCGAAGGACTATTAGGCTAAGAAGGCACAAAAATATATCAAAAATATAAAAAAGTGGCCCTAGTGGCCCCTCTCTTGATATCTTAGGATAGAGTATGTGATAGGTATAAAATATTTGTCACAAATATGAGATTGAAATACATATAGAAGTGTTAGGAGAAGCACGACGCGTAGCGGAGTGCTTCTCGACACTTCTCGAGTGTTTTGCCAACCCCCAAGTGCTTTATGACTGCACACAGCACAGCAAGCAAGTTTTTTATTTCTTTTATAAAATACAAATTACAATAATAGATAGGAATGACGCAACGGAAAGTGCGCGCGCGTGCAATGTGCTCTCATAAAGCACGCGCTCCAAACCAATCAGAACGCGACATTCATGACAATTATTTTTAATTAGCCTTAAGTTTCAAGCATGGACACTAAGTTTCGGCATTTTGTGAAGTCCAATTTATCAGGCATGTTTGAAAGCCAAATTTACATATGTTTTGACTAATTTGCCAATCTCGTACCCAGAGCCTTCGTTTCTTCTGGCCTGCGGCGAAGAACTCTGGGTACGAGATTGCTAATTTGCATACGGATCAGAGCATGCGCAGACGTTTTTCACTCGTGTCTGGCTCAGTAGTCAAAGATGAGTAGTTAATGATTGAACAGGACCCGATTGAACAAGATGGGTCATGATGGACAAAAGTACAAGTCGTGAAACACTTGGCTCAGTAGTCATGGATTCGTCAATGGACCTCATGAGAAGAAAAACCTTTGTTTAACTGCGCGTAGTCTCATCCTGAAGCGCTTGAAAGACTAAAACTACCAAATCATATCTAAAAGAGCAAAAAAAGGTGTCTATGGCGTAACTTATTTTGCTTTTCTCTTAAAAAGTAATGGTTTTACAAGCTTTAAAAGTATCAACACGCAAGCCAATTGTACGCCATTACACACACCTCCCCCTCACCCAAGGGGTTTGGTACTACAACTAGACTTTTGGAAGCAAAAACCTAGCGTAAACTAGGCAGATTGAAAGAACATGCACTGCTATTGCATTCGAASCGAWTTTTCAGTTTTCTAAGCTGTATTTCGARCTTAGTCATGTTTTGTTTCAACAAAATCAAACCCTGTATGATTGCGTGAATTTTGGGGTTCAAGCAGTTTTCGAAACATTAAAATTGTTTGACTGACACAGCGTGTACACAGGCTTACCATTTTGTAGAGTGATGCAAAAACCACCCTAAAACTTTTGCGTGTTTGTTTTGGATGTTTGAATGTATCGTTGTTAGGTTGAATGTCAAACAACTGCATGTTGTTAGGGGGCGGAGACAGTCGAAACAAACACGCAAAATGTTTCCATTACTGCGGTTTTCGATATTCTGCTAATTCTGTAGTTACAAGCTGCACGCGCTGAAATTCCGTTTTTTTGTCAATCAAAAATAACCAGTCGGTACCCTTTCATGTTCATGACTGGCGGCAGTGAAAAGCAATTTTACAACAAACCGTTGGAATGTTTTTTTTTAGGCGATTTCGATCGTTTTTCTTTATGGGATAAAATGAAGAAAAACGGTCGAAAGCGCCTGAAATTGAGCACAGGGCATAAAAACCAACAGTTACAGACGTCAAACTAAGGTTAGTACCTTTTATTCTTATATTGCTATATAAAATAGACTATAAAATACAATCCAAAAAAATCCCCATACATTAAGTATAGAATTACAGAGCTTGGGCTGCCTGTGCCCAAATACGCAAGTAAGCACTTCTTTTTCCTGTAGAGTCTGGTCGCTCGGACTAAATGTTATTTAGTCCTTCCGTAATGAAAAGGTCTCAATCTGCCAGAAGATGAAGGCAAATATGTGATAGAAAAGGTAACACTTTCATTTATTGTTGGCTATTACAAAAGGTAACATATGATTGATTGTTCGATTAGTCTGTATTAAGTGCAAATTGTTGCAGAGCAAGTGATGTATTTCTGTGACGATGAGATGGAGAAAACTCGAATTTTTCGAGCCAGGATCCGAGCAAGGATTTTGGCTTTTATCATATTTTTCTATTCTCTTTTTGGATGGTTTACTTCTCCGATTGATAGGGAACTTGTTTAAGAACAATATTCTAATTTTCTGAGTCATTTTTGAACTATCTTCGAGAAAGAAAACATGTTTTGGCACGTTTGACTTCAGCTTCGTCCTAAGGAGGTGGAACCAAACTATAAATTCAGAGCGAATTTTGGAAAATTTTATTCTCGCTCGCTTCGCGCAAGACTGGAGCGTTAATTTAATTGAATTAATTGAAAAAAATCATCTGGAAATAAAGATCAATAGTTTATTGTGAGTCCTGAAGCGTTTCTTCTGCGAAAAAGCCTCAAAAACGCTTGTTTGGGACTTCAAAAGTTAATTTTAAAACTCGCTCACCTAAAATTTCGATCGCTGGATCAATTACCACCTTGTATTTGGACCCAAAATGTTTCACCTTCTGTCTCTTCTTTTCGCATGTAAATCTCACAGAGCAAAGAACAATTATCCAGTTGTGATGTGCTTCGGTTTTGAGGGATTTCATTAAACGGTTTACAAGAAAATGAAACTCGAATGGAGATGATTTGGTTTCTTCTCGTGATCCGGACACTAAGGGCAAGCAAAGGAATTTCAAATATGCGATTTGGTTTCAAATTTCTAACCCAACCACAGGAAGCCCATACAAGCTTTGAGAACTGAATGTACACCTTTTGCTGTTCATTAACAGAAAATGTACATTCATTTGTGCCAATAGTTGTATCAATAACGTGTAATGTACTTTCATCAACAGCACAAGTAACATCATTAGCGCGGATCAACTTTCAATAACGACAATTGAATATGCGTGTACATTCATAGGCATCAATGGACAATCAATAGCGCGTTCGTACATTCATATGCGCAGAATGTATTTTCTTGTGCGCGAAATTCAACTTCAATAACACCAAATGACAAACAATTGCATTTATTGACAATCATTTACCCAAAAGTGAAAATTCATTAGTGCTATTAGCATAATCATTGCCAATCTATAACGCGCTTGGACGATCATGAGGGTCAACGTTATATTTTATAGCGTGGTTCGACAAACATTTGCATGATTCGAATAAACAATAAGAGAAATAAAACAATCATTAGCGTTTTTTTAATCACTTTAATACATATACAAAACTCAGGAAACTGCCTCCATAATAGCGGCTGCGTAGGAGAATAGCAATTAGCTCACTTAAAGCAGCAATTGAAGCCGACATCAGCCGTCCAGAGATCCAACAACATACGAACTATTGGGCTGAGGCAAGACGACAAGGGATTGCTCTAGGTCTCTACAGAAAGCAGTTGCTAATGGAAGGGTTCCAGAGAAATGTGGCAACCATCACTATCGCTAAATGTGATCAGTGGTTCAGATATATGCAAACGTATTTGCCACGATGTATAAATGGCGAAGAAATTGAAGGCTAAAATAATTTTTTAAAAAATCGCTAATGATTGTTTTATTTCTTTTATTGTTTATTCGAATCA